CTAGGTGAGTGGATACATAAATCATAGTATATACATACGGTATATTCAGCCTTAAGAATGAGAATTCTGACATTCATGCTATAACACTGATGGACCTTGAAGATATGCTAAGTGAAATAAGTCAATCACAAAGGGCAAATACTGGATGATGCCCTTTATATGAGGTATTTAGAGTACTCATATTCATAGCAACAGAAAGTCAGATGATGGTTACTAGGGCTGGGGAGGAGGAAGAATTTCCTTAGGGCATGTGTGCTCACCAGAGAGTAAGAGAGACAGACACAATGAGAGAAAAACAGTGAGAAAGAACCCCCCTGCTGGTTCCCATAGGGGGGGTGATTTCTCACTTTCTGTCTCTGTGTCTCTCTCTGTCTCTCCAGCAAGCACATGCTCCATATACACAACTCTCTCTTAAGAAACAAAAAAGAGGGGGAACCAGCAGTTAGCGTAATGGCTATGTCGTTGGACTCCCACATAGTCGACCGCGGTTCGCGTCCCGGACCTGGTGGCTTAAAACTCATGCCGGGCGCGTGTGCATGCGTGCCCAAGATCCCGAGAGGAGAATGGAGGAGAAGGGATTGCGGTGTGGCCATCCCCCCTGGGGGGTGATTTCTCGCTTTCTGTCTCTCTGTCTCTCTCTGTCTCGCGAGCGCACGCGCCCTATGGCGAAAACCTCTCCAAAAAAAAAAAAGAAACAAACAAAAAAGAGGGAGACCTGAGCTGACACATGCTTGCCCTCTTGCCACGTGATGTCCTCTGTCATATGATGCAGCAAGAAGGCCTAACCAATTGCAAGCCATGCCCTTGACCTCCACCCCTTGACCTAAATTTCTATTCCTTCCCCACCCCAACCCCCCCCGTTTATAAGTATGTATTTGGGTAAGAAATCCTAAAATATATATTTATGATATAAATAAGAAAAACCGCATTTGACTGAATAAAACATAAAATGACAGGAGGTGACATAACTGAGTGTCTGTAAATGAGATCATCCACAAACTTTAAAGAAATTTGAAGTATTTAAAAGTTGAGACCATGGTTTATAATTAAAATGGTATTAGGCTTTTTAAAGGTAATCATGACTTAACAGTTTTCAAATTATTTCAAAATGGGCTTCCAGAAACTGTTTTACATAGACGTGAACAACAACAAAAAAGACAAGAACTTGGGCAAGCAAAGTCCATGGCAGCTGGTTAAAGTAGAGACAGAAGCTGTAGGTTCGGTCATCCTTCCTTAGCCTCAGTCGTTTTTTTCTAAAGATTATGATCATTTATTGATCATGATATGATTTGAAGGAATACTGAAACAATTTCTCAGGGACTTTACAGAAACATTTTTAGTAACAGAGATGAAGACTTTTTCAAATAGCAAACATATATTAGTTTAAAGCTTGAGGCTGCCTTCAAAGGTAGATGTCGATAAAAGCAGCATTGTAGGAGACTTGGGGGTTAAGTATTTTATATAGAAGAGTCAATCATCACACGGTTTACATTTACTCGGTCACTATGTCTGCAGTGTGGTGCACATTTTCATAGAATTCAGACATTATTGAAGTTATTATTTTTGCTGTATAACTTACAGACCCCTGAAATACACAGACTCATAAAATAGCTTATTAGTTCTTTTTGCTCCTGTTATAAGAACAAATATAAATTGAAAAATCTTTATGTAAAATCTCCATTCTTTATAAATTATCCAGTCTGTGACATTCTGTTATAGCAGAAAATGGACTAAGATGCACACCTCAATTGTTGCCACCACTTCTTATGCCCCAGGTCCCAGAGTCCTCTCCCAACCCACAAGTGAGTTGGAGAGCAGGTTGTCTCTGCCAGAGGCTCTATCTCGAGTCCCTTAGGCTGGCAGAGGGGTGTGAGTGTGGTGTGTGTACGTGTGCATGTGTGTAAGCATGCGTGTGAACTGGGCGTAGGGAGTTGTCTCACATTCCCATCCCTCCCCCACATATTCCTGGACTGGCCCTCTGGCTCTCTGGAATGAATGTGTTTCTTTCCTTGCCAGGCAGGGATGGCCAAAGGCGGCCCCATTTGACTTCTCTGACATGGCCTCAGGCCCATCCCTCATTCCATGGCTTTCTCTCCTGGCTTTGAAAGATTTCTGAGCACAATATTCCAGGCAGCTCCTCTAAGAGCATAGCATTGAATTATGGCTCTTAGCGCAGAGGTATTGTCCTCTTTCTTTCCTCCTGACCTCCATGTGTGCTGTGGGCACCCATGGCTATTGCCAGCTCCCTTCCCAATCCCCCAGCAACATGTAAGCAAATGATAGTCTAGGCTTGGAGAGCAGAGATCAGGACTGCTGGGGCTTCTGGGGGGGGCGGTGAGGGTTCAGAGCTCTCTCTGGCCACCCTGGCACCCATGCCCTACTTGCTCAGGGCAGTCTCAATGGACCCTGGTGTAGTTAGAGCAGAAAGGGGCAGAGTATGGGCTCTGGTGTCACACAGGCCGGAGTCGTGTTTTAGCCTCCTCCTGCTGTGGCCTGGTAAACTACATCTCTAAGCTCCTGTTTCTGCAGAAGTGGAGTGAAAATTCTAACAGTACCTACTTATTTCCTTGCACTGCTCTAAGGAAAAGAAAACATGATGCACTCCAAAGCACAGTCCAGTGCAATGGGCGCTCTGGCCCCATCACTGAGTGGGCCTCTCAGTCGGCCAAGGAGGCCAGGTTTAGGCAGCCCTTGCCACCTGTGTGGGGAAGGCACACCCCATCCTGGGTGATCTCTGGACCCCAGTGCTGGGGGTAAGTGTACTTCTCTCTACATCCCAGAAGGCCTTGTAGTCCTGGGGCGAAAGCAAAGAAGGAAGTAGGCCAAGCGGAGCCCATCTCCCTTCTCCCTGTCCTTCCTTTGGTTGGGCTTAGCAGTAAGGGCTCAGCCAAGGCCTGGGCAACCTCTTTTGGCTTGGGCTGCCCTCTGGCCCTTGGACAGGGCGGGGCACGGAACAGGCACATCCCTTCCTCCCAAGCCACCCACCTCTGGAAACACCCAGTGGCCAATCCCTCCACCAAGGGGTCTGTCCTCTAGATGGCAGCACCTAGTTAATGCTTAACCTGGGTCTCCATGAGAAACAGAGGGGAGGGGCAAACAGGACCCCAAAAAGTGAATTTGACCCTCTTTGTCTGGGAAGGGAAGGTTGCACAGAGTTCTCAGTCATAAGTTCTCCAGAGTCTCTGCAGGGAGAGTTTAAAAATAGTTGAGCCCCTTATTGGAGGGTGGCGGCTCGGGCAAGGGCAGGGTGGGGTTGGTGTTAAGGACAAACGAAAGGGAGATGTGGGAAGAGACTTAAGGCCTTTTAGCATTTAGCATGACCGAAGAATCCTGGGAGGTTTGGATTTTAATTTTATGGATCATGAACGGTTATCCTAATCATCTCTTTGGGTTCTGATGGCATGTTGGGAAGGTTAGGGTGTGTGTTTGGGGACTCAGGGTGAAGCACACCTGCAGGATCCCTGGCGTGAGAGAGCCATCACTGAAGCCCAAGTTGGTGTGACTGTCCAGGAGGCAGGACGAGTGGGGCAGAGCCATGGGAAGGTGATGGGGACCAGCTGCACACGTAGGCTCAGCTCACCTCTGAGCACATCTTCTCCTTGAGCCCCTGCTAGCCTAACTCTCGACCTCCAGGTTAGCTCCTCCAATTCCTCTCATTTCCCACTTCTGAGAGCTCCCGGGTTTCCCTTCTGCCTGCCTCTACTTCCTCAGATTCCTTCATTATCTGTCACAGAAACAGAGTCCCCACAGATACACAGTCTGTAGTGCCATTAGCTGATCGATGATTCTTTTCCCCATCAGTAGGGAAGCTTCACGAAAACAAGGACATGTCTGTTGCCCAGGGCCCAACACGGGGGTGCACATCGGTGGTCCTCAACAGACATTTGTGAAATAAATGGTGAATAATTTTCAGGGACTGAGGTAATGTCTGTCTTTCCCCAGACCGGAAGCTGTTTAAGGGAAGACTGTCTGCTTTGTCCATTGCTCTGGGCCCGTAGTGATCAGCAAGTGTGATAAAGTGTCTCTTAGGGTCACTGCGTTTGTGGAGTGGAATGAGCTCTGCCTGTTGGAATGCCTTAGGCTTTGGCAGTGGGCTGTGGGTGGGCAGGAGGACTGCCTAATTCTCCTGGAAAGTGGGCTACATTTGGGAAAGTACAAATAAAAACTCTTAGCTACTCGGATCCTGAGCCATCCCAGACAGCGTAATAATAAGGATACTAATGCTGTTTCAAGCATTTTGTATGGATCATCTCAGCTCATCCTCACAATGACCCCATGAAGTAGATGTGACAGTCCTCTCCCTACTACAGAGGAGGAGGTCCTGAGAGATTAAGTGACTGACCCAAGGCCACACAAGCAGGGAGCAATGACTCCACAACCATATAACACTGCCTCTCAGAGTGCTGACGACATTGGTGAAGCTTAAAGGAGCAAGGGAAGGGACTCAAATGTGGGTCAGCACAGGGGAGATGGGCCTGGAAAACCTGGATTTACTCTCTGGTCAAATGGTGGTCTCTTGAAGTTGGGAGGTATGGGTTCCAGTCCGACTTTGACTCTTCTGTGTTACCAGTGCTTCTCTTTTTCCTGAACCTCAGTCTCCTCATCTGCATAATGGGACTGCGCTGGCCACCACTTCACAGGGTGGTGCAAAGGATTCCAAGGAATTTGAATGTCCAACCCAAAGCAGGGGAGCACAATGCTGGAGGGAAGATGCTTTCAAATAATAAGAGGACCAAAGTGTTGGGCAAAGTGAATATTAAAGACTAGATATCCCAAGGCTGCAATGAAAACAAGTTCAACAAAGGCTGAGGTTTGATCCCCCCAGAGCTTTCAGGGTATCTGAGGGTCAGTTGCTGGAATATTTCACCGACTGTCACTCAGGGCTCCTTGAACTGCTCGGGTGGAACTGAGGTGTGAGGAAACATGGCTGCCCCCAAGGAACAGAAACGTATCCCTCTTGCCTACCCAGGCCAGCACACAGTCTCATCCACACAGGGGCATACATTTCTTTGGTTTTATTATTACAAACACACCATGGCTCTGTCACACTCAGAAAACTTGGAGTCTACCTGCTTTACATACACTTTCTTTTCTACCTGAACAGGGCCACATAGGAGCATCCAAGCCACGTAGAGATGCAAGACACATTTGACAGAACAGTTCAACTCATAGCTTATAGTGATACCATTTCTCCAGCTGTGCAGCAACTTTACAAAACCATGCCTGGGCTTCCCTAACATTGGATTTCTTGATTTATATTTTGTGAGCTCCACAATACTGCAGCTCCCTTTTCCAGGCACTCGACATATACAGGAAATTCCATGTTTGGGACAGTCTTTTCTGGAAGTGAATGTCAGACAGTGACATCTACATTTCTACATGTAATGGGTTAACAGCCATGTTTAGGGGGAACAAAAAATAATAAAGTACATCTCTCTTCCTCCCCCCCCCCACCCAAGGCTCAGATCTCATTGTGGTTCGGCCCATGTACATTGAAGTGTGATATTTGGTTTTACAAATAAACAGTCTCTTTGGCAAACTGAGAGAAATCAGTGGGGAGCTGCTGAGGTATGTTCCTCCTGTGGTCTTTCAGCTTAATGCTTCATCCTCTCTAGTAACCTCTGATAGACAGGGGCTGAAAGAGAGAAGTTTGAAAGGTAAAGAAGATGCAGACTTCCTCATGTCTGTCTGCCACACTCAGAATCTTGAGGACAGGGACCAAGTGGTCTCTCTCTGTGATACTTCCCTGCACATAGTGGGTGCTTTTTGGTTCAGGAAACTTCCATTTTACTCACTGTCTTATGCTCTGGGATTTCGACATCTACCAGCTTGGAAGGTTATCCTTACATTGGCTCCTGCCAAGCCCCTGTGCAATAATTCCCTGGATCCCAAAGCTGAAAGTTGATATCAACCCTGAAATATCGTTACTATTATCAAACTCCATCTTATGGTGAAGGAAACTGGGAGTTCTGTGTCTGAGCCCAACTCGCCCTGCTGATCTGGCCCCCGCGGCAAGCCCTGTTTTACTGCACTGTTCCATTCTTATCTAAATAGAGCAGGTGGCAGGTTTGGGCCTGCTTGGGGTAAGGCCCTAACAAGCCTGTGAGGACTTCAAACCTAGGCCATACTTACCTAGTCGCACAGATCTCTGGGAAGCCTGAAAGAAAGCACACAGCGTCAGGCTTTGTGGTGAAAAATTAAACCTGTATCTTCTCATGGCAGTGGCTTTGCCCACTGTCACCCCAATTCAGAAAAAAAAAAAAAGAAGTACTAGGGTGAGAAAGAAGAATGGAAATGAAGAGTCCCAGGGAGCCCATTGGTCGGCTTTAGCAGCCCTCATTGTGCAAGCGCCTATCAAGGAGAGTTCCAAGGTAAACATTCCTGGGAGATCTCCAAGCCAGGCTCTCCCACTGAGACCAGAGCCTAGAGTTGGGAGGCCTGGGACTTTACAGTGGTGGCTCTCAGGAATAAGCGCTCAGGGCCAGGAATCCTTCTTGAGAGCATTAAAGACATGCCTCTGTTCAAAAGCAAAGTGTTAGAGCTCAAGATCTCTGGGATCACGACTGCACCCTGCAGCCTCTTCTCTTGAAATGCATGCCTTCTGCAAGGTACCTTATCTTCCCAAGGGGCTCCACCTGACCCAAAGCAACAAAGGGGTCTGAGTGGGGCTCCTGGTTCCCGGGCAAGCCACAGATCAATTTGGAAAGAGCCAGAGAGATCTGAAAGGGAGGTGGGGCTGAGGCAAAAAAAGAGGTTCTGCACACATAGTTGCCTCAGTATCTCTGTATCCAGAGTCTACACCCTGCCTGTGAGAGCCCCAGCCTCACTCAGGATGGTCAGTGCCATCAAAAAAAAAAAAAAAAAAAAAAAAAAAAACAATCAGTCAAACTGGGATGGGCTGCTCACCATGGATAGGTGGCTTCCAGGTGTACTTGTTCTCACCAGCAGTGGCTTCCCCATAACCAAGACTCAGAGGCCTCAGTGTCAAGGCCTGAACTGTGGCCAAAAAAGAAGCAGGAGCTGCCTGGGTTCTTTTTCCTGATTCCCACCCAAGCCAGGGCTGAGGATGCTCCCAATGGGAATAGGGAGAAGTTTCGAAGAAGCCCTGGGAGAGCAACCATGAAAGACAGGGCAGGAGTGTTCCCTCCATGGGCCCACCCAAAGGGCTCAGGGCTGCTCAGCTAGGCTCAAATCAAGCAGCCATCTTACCCTGGAATATGCCGATGCCTGTCTGAAGATCTCAAGTGCAGAGTCTGCAAGCTCGTCCCCTCGTTCCTGAGGTCTGTTGGCTGAAGAGGAAAAGAAAGGCATCTTTGGTAAGAGAGAAAATATGAGCATGCCATTCATAACACCCCTAACCAGAGAGACTGTTGGGCTGTCCAGCTCACGTTTCCAAATGAATTCTTCCTCTATAACTTCATGTAACTCATGGTGGAATTTGGCCCCTGGGGAAGGAGCTCCAAGGAGGGTGAAAGCACAAGTGAAGGGAGAGGCAGGACTGACGCTCAACTGTGTGAAGGCCAAGTGCACAAAGGAGGTAAGATGTGGCAAAGGGCGCCAGGACCCACGTGACCAGCATCCATGTGGGTACCAAATCACTGGACTGCCACTGAGTGGAGCTAAGATGGCAGCGACTTAGCTAAGGGATGTGTGTCTGCCAGTGTCTCAATGTAGGGAATGGGAATCCAACTGTTTCCACCCACAAGGCAATGCCACCCATGTCAGGACAGGTTTGCATGTCACAATTATGCCCTATTCTGGTCTTGGTTTAGAACAATTTCCCTGCTGAGCACCGACTGCCCTGGGCAGAGAGGGAGCAGCTGCAGTCCGCGGGGATGTAAGACTCTAGGGTTTTACCTGGAGGCTGCAGAATGCTGGTGATGGCATAGACCACGCCGTTTGTGGCCATGATGTCGGTCTCAGCTACAGGTTCCTTATTGACACTCACTACGTTGTTTTTCTAAGAAAAAATAAAAAGACACCACAATGGTTGAATGGGAGTACGTTTATCTTACTCATTCAGCAATGTTTACTGCATACCTGGATATGCTGAGTCCTGCAGTGCGGCTGCTCTGGGAAATGAAACAGTCCTCCCCTCAATAGACCTGCATTCTGGCAGACTAATTCCAACCCCTTGCATGGATTCAGCTCATTGCAATTTACAAAATGCTCTTTTGTGTTATCCATTTTGTCGTCATAGCAGTGTATGGTAAAAATCACACGTGCCTGGTGTAACTTTTCAAGCTGCTGAGTCCAGGACTTGAACTATGGTTGGCCATGTGGGAATCCAGTGCCTTAACCACCATATCACCTGCTGGCCCCTAAAGTGCCTCCTTTAAGCTAAGTAGGTGGGACAGTTGGGGGGTAGACACCAGGCTTCCAGCTCTGGCCAAAAAAGGTTCTTTCCACTTTTTCTGGATGCGCTATTTAAGGTTTCTCACAGGCCCACCAGGGGAACTCTCTCTTAGGTTTTCCTGAACAAACCATGTAATAGACAATAATCCCAAAGTCGGTAATTGCCCTGGAAAGGATGGCTCAGTGATCACCCCTGAGATAGAGAACTTCCTGCCCAGGTAAGAAGGTAACGGGGGTAAGGAGGCACTGAAGCCTACAACAGACAGGACCCTGGTACCCAAACCTAAGTGTTGGGAGATGCTCAGGTGACCTGCAGAAATTGAACAAGTCATTCCCATCCCTACCTCTTTATGTGTCCCATGCTCCTGAGAGAAACCAGGGTGATAAAGGGTCAGGAAAGAGGAGTGGGGAGCAGAGGCCAATAGCCTTGGTCGGTCAGCCAGAGAGGTTCTGGGCTGGCTGGCTGGTCTCTCTTGCCAAGGTAGGGATGCTGTGAACACAGCTCGGAGTGCAATGTGTATCATCAACACGCAGAGTGGGGAAGAGCCAACATCAGAGCTGAGTAGGCCTCTGGGGACAGTCTGGTTCATGGGCTGCTCAGTGAGCTCTGGGTTTGGAATGGGGGAACTGGGGTGGGGTGGGGTGGGGGGTGAGGATAGAAGATTGATTTCTCAAGACAACGTAAGTAATTGCTACCATCTCCTTAAGGGAAGACAGATCCAACCGCCTCCCCCAGATGCCAAGTCAGATGCTTTATTTCCTTGCATATCTGGATGTTCTTACTCATGTCTAACTACAGGCTCACTTGATTTCCCCGGAGACCTTTTTGTTTTCTCTTTTTTAAAGGATTGTGCATGTGTGTGATGCCATCCCAAGAGTGAGGCATGCCTCAGAGCCCTGGGGGCGGGCCTTTTGATTCGTATGCATACTCACTGAGCTGACTTCCGGTTTGTCACCCTGGAGAGACTTGAGCCGCACCAGGGTCCCGATGCCTCCGCTAACCAGAATTTCATCGCCAACGTGGTATTTCAGGATGTTGGCAAGTTCCTTGGCATTTCCTACAGGTTGGTGGGAAAAGGAGACATAGTTGATCCCAGAGTTGGTAATTGGCCTGGTCAAGCGGGGGGGGGGGGGGGGGGGGGGGGCAGCAAAGGAGAAGATGCATGTGGTCACCCGAGATGGAGAACTTCCCGCCCAGACAGAGAGCACTCATTGAGAACCCACTGTGTGCTAAGCCCCATGACCTGCCAGCTGCCTAATGGTCCTTGGACAAAGGTACATGTCTGTTGCCATGACTATACCACTGCAGTCTGTGGGGTTAAGCACGTGCCGTTTGTGACAGGGGCTTCCTGGCTGCTGCGAAGGAGTTAATCTATACTCCTCTGTGAGTCTGACTCATGTTTCCATGAGCTAAATATCTACTTGGAAAGCCAAGGACCTTTCCAGCACCAGCATCTGGGACGTTTCATCATCAGCGTGGCTCCCGACGGTTCTAACACAGTAGTGAAATATTTACACATTCTGCCCTCAAATGCATATTCTGTCGGAGACGGCTGTTTCCTGAAGGGAGAACTTAAAAGAGGCAACAGCTGCACTCCGACGGAGCATGGAGCCGATGAGGTCAGAGCTGAGGGGGTATTCCTGCCGCAGCATCCCTCCCCCTCCTGTCTGGGCATTCCTTCCAGCCCACATCAGTTCCTCCAGCAACTGGGGCAGGCACCGGATTGCTCATAAAGGTGCGCAGGCATTTCCCAAATTAAGTGTAGGAGGCGATTCCTCAAGCTGCCAGCTGCCCTCTTGTCTCTGATATTCTCATTACTAGCCAAATGGCTGAATTTCCCCAGGGCTGTGGATGGCTATTTCCAGCATCTTGCAACTGAGAACACAGGAAATTTTAAAGCATTCAGGGGACTCACTTGGTTATCACCAGATTAGTGCAGGGGATGGAGCCCCTGGGTACCAAGTGATTTGCAAACGTCTGAAACCTGGAGCTGACAAGTCTCCTTTCCACAAGTACTGCCTGGAGTAGAAAGCCGAGCCAGCCCCTGGGTGCAAGAAGCCTCCTTCTAACACCCGGACCACCTCTGTCTCCCAGGAGTGCCCCAGTCTAATCCAACTGCAGGCCAGGGAGAGGCTGTGTTTGGGAAGCGTTCCCCATGCCCCTCCTGTGCTCCCACACAAGTCAAAATGAAAGGGAAGCCGGGCAGGCACAGGCCACCTGGGGAATATTCCATTCTCACTGGGCAGAGAGAGGATGGAAAGTTTATGTTCGGAGTGAACTTCTCCCCTCTTCTCAGGAACGTACGTCAGCATCCCAGACACAGCAATCACTAAGCAATAAAAAAAATTAAACAGGAGACTCCACTGGGAGCCGCCTGCAACTTGAGCTTCCTCTTCTCCTGTACCAGAGTGGGAAGGGAGATGTAGCTCCCACTCTCAGGTTTGGCCAAGGTCTCGCCTCCTCCTCCTTTTCTCCTCTGCCTCACCTTTCTGTGTTAGAGGAAGAGTGTCTTTTGTGTGTGTGTGTGTGTGTGTGTGTGTGGGTTTTGCTATAGGGCGCGTGTGCTCGCCAGAGTGAC